TTTTTTGCAGTACGCGGGCTTCTCACTGCTGCGGCCTCTCCCATTGTGGAGCACAGGCTCCGGACGTGCAGGCTCAGTGGCCATGGCTCACGGGCCCAACTGCTCCGCGGCATGTGAGATCTCCACGGACCGGGGCACGAACCTGTATCCCCTGCATCGGCAGGCGGACTCTCAACCACTGCGCCACCAGGGAAGCCCAATCCATCTGTATTTTAGGGGGATTAGATTAGTTGATCTCAGAAATGCCTTCCAGCTCTAGAGTTCTATTATTATGGGCAAATGTATATGTATTTTGACATTTCCCCCAACGTGCTTCTTCTGGCGATAATCAGAAGTTCAGCAGATGCTCAAAAAGAGATTGACACCCAGTTCTAAGGATTTCTTTTGGGAGATTCTTGAGTTTTCTATGAGAATTCTATTTTTGTGAAACCTTGTGTTTCTAGACTCTCAGATTCCTTGAGAGCCCTGCTGCTGCAGAGAGAAGAGGTCTGGATTGCCCTCTGGCTGGCAGAGAAGGCAGCCATGGGACAGAGGGGGGGTGGCAGAGAGGGTGGGGGGGAGAGTTGGCTGGGGGCCAGGAGTCCACCCGTCCAGGCAGCTGCCTTTCCTCCTGGGGGTTACAGGGCTGCAGCAGGCCCTCCAGGTTCTGGAAGGAACCTGAGGCTGGCAGAGGTAGAAGGCCTTGGGGCCAGTCTGGAGCCAGAACTCAGCCTAGGAGAGCAGGTACAGTTAAGGCTGCACATGGAACTCTGAAGATCTAGCTACCAGTGTTGGAGAGAAGCATTGCCAAATGGTAACAGTGACCGAGCAAGGTGAGATGGGACCTAGCTTTTCACCTTAACCCTGACTCACCTCACTTCGTGGCCCACCTAACAGATCAGCAACTCTGATGTGAGCTTAGTCCACAGGGAAAAGTGAGGCAGCTGCACGAGCCCAGCTCACCAGGAGTTAAATGCAGCCAGCCCCCCATTACACAGGAAAACTCCAAGTAGAATCATACTTCTGCATACTCTGCTCTCTACCTTGAGAAACTACCTTCCTGGGTTTCATCTTCAAAGTCTGAGGTAGCTATGGGAATCTCACACTTAATTAAAGGAGAGTTCAGGAACTCCAAGTCTTTTCAAAACAATTTTGGTTGCAGTGAGGATGCAGTCACCATCTGGCAAGAAAGGTGTTAACTCAGAGTTTCTGGTCAACTCTAGCATCAGATTCAGAACCAAAGAGAGTTCATGTCAGAGGCCCCCTCAGATGTCCCCTCCCTATCTAGCCTGCAAGTTGAAAGCCTCTGTACTGATTTTCTAAGTATTAAAAAGTTAGGTCAGTTGCACGGTTTTAAAAGCTTTATTGAGATATAATTTACATGTCTTAAAGTTCACCCATTACAAATGTACAAATCAATGATTTTTAGTAAATTCTTAGACTTGTGCAGCCATTACCACAATCTAGTTTTAGAACATTGCCGTCACCCTGTTTGCAGTCCGACCTCACCCTCACCTCCCTTCCTAGGCAGCCAGTAATCTGCTGTCTATCTCTGTGTTTTCCAGATATTTCATAAATGAAATAATATGGGATCTTTTGTATCTGACTTCCTTCACTTAGGATAATGTTTTTCAGGTTCATCCATGTTGTAACATGTATCAGTACCTCATTCCATTATATTGCTAAATAGTATTCCATTGCATGGATATATCACATTTTGTTTATCCATTCACAGTTGATGGACATTTGGGTTGTTTCCAGTTTCTTAGTGTTATGGATATTGCTGCTTTGAACATTCCTGCATAAGTCTTTGTGTGAACATACGTTCATATTATCCTTGGGTAATTCCTAGAAGGGGATTTGATGAATCATATGGTAAACTTTACATTCTAAGAAACTGTCAAAACTGTCTTCCTAAGTAGCTGTACCATTTAACATTCCCACCAGCAATGTATGAGGTTTCCATTTTTCTCACATCCTCGCCAGCACTTGTTTTTGTCTGTCTTTTTGATTGTAGCCCTCCTAGTGGGTGTGTCATGGTATCTCATTGTGGGTTTAATTTGCATTTCCCTAATGATCAATGATTTTGAGCATCTTTTCATGGGCTTATTACCCAAAGGCACATTTTGTCATCTTCTTATGAGGATATGTGTGGAAGAGGTGTATGACATATATAGTTGGGAGTCACAGTGGAGTGCAGTGGAGTGGGAGCTCAGCTGAGCCACTCTGCTCGCTCACCCCTTTGTTGAGGGCTCAGGGAATACTTGCAGGTGAAGTCATGGCAAAAATGAGCCCCAGGGGGCTAGGAACCATCAGCCAAGTGGAACCTCATCCAGCTAGACTCTAGGAAGGGTCAGGAGCTGGATGGGGGAGGAGAGAGGGACAAGCACAGTCCTACTGTGTCTGGCATCTTAGTTTGCTCAGTCAGCTATAACAAAATACAAAACACTAGGTGGCTTATAAACAACAGAAATCTATTTCTCACAGTGTAACTGGACAAGGCCAGTACGGAACCCAAGTGTAGCTGCTCGCCGCTTGACAGGCCAATTCGAGAGACAAGTGTTGGTGGAAAAGGAAAAGTTGCTTTATTCAGGAGCCCAGCAACGTGGGAAGATGGTGGACTAGTGTCCTAAGACCATCTCCAAATTGCCGGTTACGAGACAAAGGTTTTAAAGGCAGCGTGAGAGTGAGGGAGGGGGCTGCAGGGAGCCTGGTTAGCTTGTCCTATTCGCGAATTGGTTGGCATCAATGTGAAGTTTCGAGTATCACCAATCATCTGGTTTCAACCGGTCTGGGCTCTAAGTGCTGGTGTTTGGCAATTTTCACCTGGCGGGGTCTGCTTCCTGTAAGAACAGCTTAGGGGGGTGTGTCGGGCCTGTATCTGTAGCTTTCAGGGGCCTGGGTGTTCAGGACCTGCTGTGGGGCTCGTCTAGAGTCTAAACTGTACCAGTTTCCCGGTCCAACAGCTATTCTTTGTTTCTCCATCTTCGCATTTCCTCATCATTAACTCTTGAGCCAGCCTTTGGAGACTCAGGGGAGGCCTGGGAAACTAAAGCAAAAGGCTGTTATCTTAAAGGACAGGGACACAGGGGCTTGTATGCAGTTTCAATCCCCCCTTTGATACCCCTCAATCTTGAGGGGAACAGGTGTTGGGCGAGAAAAGGAATAATGTTTTGGGTAAAGAGGTTAGTCATTAACTCGGCAGAGGAACTCAGTTTTGGGGGGACTTGACCTCAACAGTTCTGGACGCTGGGAAGTCCAAGATCAAGGTGCCAGCATAGTCATGCTCTTGTGAGGGCCCTTTTTCTGGCTCACAGCTGGTGCCTTCTCACGGTGTTTTCACGTGGTAGAAGGGGCAAGGACCACTCTGGAGCCTCTTTAATAAGGCACTAAGCCCAGTCATGAGGGCTCCACCTTCATGACCTCATCACCTCCCAAAGGCCCCACCTCCTAACACCACAGTCTTTGGGGGTTACGATTTCAACATATGAATTTAGTGGGGACACAAACGTTCAGACCATAGCACTGGGCAAGTGAAAATAGCTCTTCATGAATGGACTTAAACATACTGGGGCTGGGGGGAAGGAACCAATGAGAAATGAGCTAGAGAAGTAAGCGGGGGCAAGGTCAGGAAGGGCTGGGCTGAGAGCCCCTGGTGCCCTTCAGGGAGGGGGCATCATGATCAGATGATCCTTTAGAAAGTTCCACCCACAGCGCAGAGGGGAACAGAGCGGGGGGCTCTGGGCTTTCCTTTACAGAAGCTGTGCCAAGTCTCTCACGGCCTTGAACCTCAGCTCTATCTCACTAGGACCCAGCAGGGCCAGAGCTATTTGTGGGGCCACCTGTGGCACTGAGAGTGACATCCACCCTCCTGTGTTCGGCAGGTGCTACATCACCCTCACCCAGTCTCTGCACCTGACCATGAGCGGGGCTCCAGCAGGACCTGCAGGCACAGGCAAGACAGAGACCACCAAGGACCTGGGCCGAGCGCTGGGCATCATGGTCTACGTGTTTAACTGCTCCGAGCAGGTGGACTACAAGGTACAGGCCCAGCCTCGGGGGGACTAGGACCTGGGCCGCAGCTTCATCCTCGCCACCCTGGTCCAGCTCAGAGGCCCAGACAGGGACGTCCCTACTCCTTCACAGTAGGCCTGAGGACCCTTGCCCTCAGGAGCTTGTGGACCTCCCTGTAAACCTTAGCACCGAGGAATCCACTTCCACTGATGAGCTTTGCAACCACAGAGAGTTGACTTCACCTCTGGGGTCTTCCTTTCGACATCTGTAAAATGAAGAAGTGAACATATATCCAAAGGCCTAAATTCATTACTTGACCCAGAATCACAGAAAGGCTCATAAGTGGCTGATATAAAAATCTTCACATAAAAGTCATAGATGTGCCAAAGTGGGCATTTGTGTAAAAGTGGGCATTTCCCCAGAATTTCTACAAGGGCAAAATATTCTAGGTTTGGCTTCCAAAGACATACTAGAGTAACCTCTATTCTTAGCAAGAGGTACACAAAGACAAGTGCAAGGGTAATGTTCTTCATCCAGGCACTCATAATTTTTACATTTTTTAATGTATTCCAGGCTCTGTATCATAGAGAAATGCAAAAGAAACAAGAGGCCCATTAGGTCACTTCTCTGCTAGCAACGTTCTGCTCATAACTAGACCTTATTCAGATTCTTTCTTTTGAAAAAAGCATAATAACAGATTGGCTCACTGTCTCATTTCCATTTTGTTTTATTGTATGTATTTTTGTAAACTGCCTTACGTTCCCTTTTGAAAATAGGATAGCAGGTAAATAAATTTAGAGTGGAAAAAGAAAACATTTGCACTAAATAGATCAAATATTTATATACCTATATGATGTGATATATTGCCTGTAAAATAAATTTAATTTAAAAATAAATTTAGGGGCTTCCCTGGTGGCACAGTGGTTGAGAGTCCGCCTGCCGATGCAGGGGACACGAGTTCGTGCCCCGGTCCGGGAAGATCCCACATGCTGCGGAGCGGCTGGGCCCGTGAGCCATGGCTGCTGAGCCTGCGCGTCCGGAGCCTGTGCTCCACAACGGGAGAGGCTACAACAGTGAGAGGCCCGCGTACCGCAAAAAAAATAAATAAATTTGGAGACTGCAAGATAATACTTTCAGTTACCATGTATAGAACTCTGTAAATGAGACTGATCTGCTATAACTTTAATAATTTCTCTTGTATATAAAATTCTGCTGTGCAGTTACAGAATCCTGTAGCATCATGTTTTCTCATATAAAGCAAACAAAATGAGGATTCAGACCCAAAATAGCTGTCTTCCCATAGTCACACACTAAATTTTAATATGGTTGCCTTTATTGATGAACACATAAAGATACTGTTTCTCTTTAAGCAGACTGGAATAAGAAACGATTTTTTCCCCCTCTAAAGGAACAAGCTAAACTTTAAGGAATACTTTAAGTTTCTAGATTCTTCTAGAGTTGATCAATGGCAGCACTGCTGAGATAAATATACTCTCCCACCCAACATTCTGGAGGACACACTCATTTAGATGTGGAAGACCTGGGGTATTGATTGAAGAAAATCAGCCAGATTTCTTCTAAGTAATGCTTAACATGGGAAACAGCAAGAGATGAGTTGGCCCTGTGGCCAGAGGTCACTAAGGTCATTTTACCCAGTCCTTTCAAAAACGTATTACTGGGCTTCCCTGGTGGCACAGTGGTTGAGAGTCCGCCTGCCGATGCGGGGGACACGGGTTCGTGCCCCGGTCCGGGAAGATCCCACATGCCGTGGAGTGGCTGGGCCCGTGAGCCGTGGCCGCTGAGCCTGCGCGTCCGGAGCCTGTGCTCCGCAACGGGAGAGGCCACAGCAGTGAGAAGCCAGTGTACCACAAAAACACACAAACAAACAAAAAAACTTATTACTGAACCCTGACCCCACCAATTCCTCTAAGAGTACAGGGTGAGAGGAGGAGTCTGCCCTTAATTTGTTTGAACTGTGCAAAGCTTCAGTCATGTGCATCTAGTACAGACACAGATCAGAGCAAGAACAGTAGGTATAGCCGTAGTGAGATACAGCAAAGGTAAGGTGATCCCTTCCTAAACACCAAACATACTTTGTAACCAAACAGGCTCAATAAGTAAGCAGTTTGCAAACCTCCTCTTCCTTTTGTTGTCCAGCTATTCAGAATTATTTTTATCTCAGAGTACACACCAGCAATCAACTTAACTTATTGGGCATCACCATTGCTCAGCTTCTGTTGGGAATCATGGGAGGATATCAGAGATAGATAGGTACGTAGGTAGGTAGATAGATGATAAAGAAAGAGAGAGAAAGAAAGAAAAAGGAAGAAAGAAGGAAGGAGAAAAGGAAAGAAAGAAAACATAGGCAGGTCAACAGATGACAGAGATGAGAGAGATAATAGATGAAAGATAGATATTAATAGATAGATAAATGATAGATGATAGATAGATAGACATATGAGAGATAGATGGGTAGGAAGGAAGGAATGAAGGAAAGGAGGAAGGAAGAAAGAAAGAAAATAAAGATATGTAGGTAGATAGATGACAGACATGAGAGAGAGAGATAATAGATGGATGGCAGATAGATAGGTAGATAGATAGATAGATAGATAGATAGATAGATAGATAGAGATAGACAGGGTGAGCATAACCCAGTCCATTAGGAGAGACAGGAATAATATATGAAATAATTAGGGGAGATAACAGACAGCATTACCCTGAGTGCTAAGGCGTGTTCTACGAACTCTAATCCCTGGAATGCTCCAGAGCTGTGGGAGAGCCACCAAGTGTGCTGGTCAGAAAAGACATCGTGGAGGAGGTGAGAGCTGAGGTTGTTTAAGGTTGTTAAGGTTTGGATGAGCACCAAACAGGGCATGTGACATTTTAACTCAGCCCCACCCACTAAAACATCAGCTTCAAAAACAGGACCGAGTTCTTTGTGCAGTTGCTGTCCTTCCCCTGCTCCCTGTGCTGACTTCACCCTGAGCTCTCTTCACAGGGTTTGGCTGGGGCGAGGAGAGGAAAGGAGTGAAGGTCAGAAAGAGCCTTCACCAGCGTCACTCACAGCAGCGCATTCTGTTTCAGTGTCTCCAGAGAACAAGCTAGAAACAAACATGGGACCACGGTGGAGTCCATTCGAATGGATCGGGGAACAGGGGAGGCTGGGAGATGGGGTTGAGCATGGAGAGGAGGACCACAAGACCACTGGGAAGCTCTGACCTTGAGGTGTCAGGCCCCAGAAACGCTGCAGGCTGCAGGACTGAAGCAGGAGCGTGATGAAGACAAACCGTCTTTAAGGAAGACTCCCTGGGCAGCCAGATGAAGGGAGACAGGAAGAGACTGGAAGTTGGGGGGAGGAACATTTTTAGGAAGAACATTGCAGTCGTTCAAACCAGAGAAGCCGGATGATGGAGCAGCAGAAACGGAAAAGAAAGATTGAGAGGCTTGAAAAAATTAAATGATACTTAGTGAACATGGGGAGGGCGTGGGGCGGTGGTGAAGCAGAGGAGGAGGAAAGAGGAGAGTTTGGGCTTTGTCAAGGCCCCTCACAGCCCCCTCTGCCTCAGGAATTCTGTAGGGAGGCGCCGGGTAATGGGGTGGACACAAGAACTGTGTGGAGGCTTGGGGGAAAGGGTTAGGGTTAGGGTTTGCTTTACTCTACTAGTGCTGGTTGGAAAACCCATAAAACTAGCCACTTACTCTGGAAATGGTTGCTGTTTTAGTGCTAAGAAGACATCCTTCATATTATAGCAGCAATACTCTCCCCCCGGACCTCAGTCTGGAGAGGCTATTGCTGAAAGATCAAATGACTTTGAATCTGAAAGTATCTGGAATTCTGTGCCTTCTCCATGGCATCAATACTATAGAACACCCACTCCTTGAGAAACCCTGCTCTCTACGCTTCTGAAACATTATCCTTCCACAATTCTATCTGATCTTGCCTTCTTGATCTCATTTTTGACCCCCTTTCATCACTTCAAGTTTTACTTTTATACGGATGACTCCTGAATCTGTTTTCCAGCTTCACCCAAGTTCTGGTAGTGTCTTTAACTAGGCAGTAGAGGCCTCCGTTTGGATGCCGTTGTCTCATGTTCGGTCAACACTCTTCTCAGACAGTTCCTGCTG